GGCGCCGCCGCCGCCGCCCGACGTCAACAAATCGGTCGGCGACCAATCCACTTCCGATCAGAGCTTGCAAATGATGGGTTTCGGGTGGAATCAAGCTCTATTGTAAGTTTAGTTCCAATTGATTTAATCAATATACGAGAGCGATCGCATATTTTTGTTTATTCATTTGTTGAGGTATTCGATTTGGACAGCAGAGGTGAAAAAGTGGAGACGAGTAGTTTCCGGTCGTTGCTTCAAGAAGAATTTCACGAGCCGAAGCTATATTCCGGTCCATCGTCAGAGGACTCGTCGCTGAACCGGTCGGGTTTCTCCCTGGACCAAACGGCAGCGTTCAGCTCTCAGACAAGCTCCAACGACAGCACCATAACATCCGGCGCCGGTTTCCAGGTGGATTTTCACGGGATGATGCTCTCGGAGAATCAGCAGTCGCTGTATAACCAAAACCGGTCGTCGTCGTCGTCAGCAAATTATCAGTATTCCCAGAGTAGCGGGAGCGGTGGGTATGGCTCCGAATACATGAATAAATACCCACAGTTCCTGAGAACGCCGCCGCCGCCGCCTGTGGTGGCTGACGGCAGCAGCAGCCATTTGCATTTCACTAACAACACCCCTTTCTGGAACGCGTCTGGGCCACCCCAGGCCGATGCTGGGTCGGGCTTTTTTCCGCCCCAGCAGATTCCTAGGCCACCTTCATTTCATCATAATAAATCAAAGGTAAATAACTTGACTTCATGAAATTTAATTCTTTTTTTTTTTTTTTTACAAATAGCTAAATCGATGATATTAATTTTATAATTCATGTAACTAACATGTTAGTGTAGATTTCTAAGCGTTTAGATTTTTATTCTCTCTTGTGGGCATGACATGGTAATTTATTAAATCAAGTTTAAATCGTGTTTACGTTGTGAAAAAAAGAGTACCGGCTCAGAATTGCGGGATATAAGCGCAACATCGAAGAAGAACAGCCCAGAAACAACAAATAAAAGGGCGAGGGGGAACGAAGCCTCCGCGACTCCTCCTCCGGCCATGCCAGCTTTTAAGGTATATTCAGATGCTTAATTTATTTCTTATACTGTAAAGCTGCATCATTACAACAGCTTTTGTTTCTTTGTTTGTGTTAATAGGTGAGGAAAGAGAAGATGGGAGACAGAATAACAGCACTTCAACAATTAGTCTCACCTTTCGGGAAGGTCTTCTTCTTCTTCTTCAAAATCTCTTCATCACTTTTTTCATTAATTTCGTAATATATATTGATATCAAAGACGAGATACATTTTCGGCTTTTGATTCGTATGTTTGTGATTTTCAGACGGATACGGCGTCTGTGCTTTCGGAAGCCATTGCATACATAAAATTCCTACATGAACAAGTCAGTGTATGTCTCTCATAGATATATATACATAATAGTTATCATAGTAAAATGATTAAACAGTAACTAATGTATGTCATTTGTGTTTACATGAACTATATGATGATGATCAGGTCTTAAGTAACCCTTATCTCAAGAATGGAGCTCCCACCCAGCATCATCACCAGGTATGTGTATGTTTA